TTTCCAGTTAACTGCGATCCGGGTTGTGGCGTTCCGCGGTTTAGCCTGGTTACTGGACAGAATAAGGGCGTTCAAGTCTGCGCTGTACTTCCGATCTAAGACCTTACCAGACGGTAGCGGGGTAACAAACAAAAAACAACACTAAAATAAACTATAAGCGTTACAAACTACCTTTTATAGCGCCATTTCAAGCCCTTTTGAAGGCATAACGCATATGGGTGTGCTAAACTCCTTTTTTGGCTGCACGTCGCAGTCCAAAATGGATCTGTTTAACGTTAGGTTCACTGGCCTGTGCCAAAATGACCTGCTACTCAGTGGGTGTCGCATAACCTGCATGCTCGTATCCAACCAAAGGCGTGGGCGGAACCACTGTACGTGGTTTGAACTGGCTCATTTGTGTCACAGTAGATTTGGAACATTTTCTTAATTATAAAGACCATGACGGATGCCCTTTGAGTAGAACAGAGGGAGGGCAGCGAAAAGGCTTCTTACCCGATTTTAGGAATGTCCGGGAGCATGCAGTTTCTTCACTACTGTCTCGATTTTGGCAAAGAAATTCCTTGAAACTGTTCGGAGGACGTGGGACTACGAGATGTCAAATGATGACCATCTACGAAATGCTGTCGGGATTTTTCTTATATGCAGTATTTACGCACACAGCTAATGCCTCGGAATCCGGTCTCCGAAACACGATGTGATGCCAGAGAACTAGAGGAAACTTAAGGTTAGGCAACGAATGCTTGTACGTCACCCCGTAACAAACACACTTGCTAGGTGGGAGGAGGGGGCTGATACGAGAACGATAGCAATGAGTTAGAGCAATGTAAGGGACGGCAAAGGAAGTTAACACGTTAACCATGTTAAAGGATTATAGGTCCAGTGTCATCATTTAGTTGGCTTGGTTTTCTGGCTAGTTATTAAACCGTATTATACACCTAGGTCAGTTAAATGACAGAGCAGAATGGTAAACGTGTTGGTAATTAAAATAAATGAATCTGCCCATTGTCAATATTTAATTGGCCTGGTTTTTAGCACTGAATTAAGCCGTGTTACACATATAGCCATCCGGGCCCTTCTACACACCAACCTAACTCTACCTCAAACGTCAACGCTAACCCTATTCATTGTGTTTGTTGGGGTTAGCGTTCGTTGCCAGGTTAGTAGGATCGCACAAACACTTGTTGCCCGAGGCCACTCCTGATGGTTTTATGAGCCGTATAAAGAATTTTTTGCTTGTTAGTAGGACGATGTAAACGTAATCTAGAGGACATTGATATGACAATATAGTATGGGACTTATCTGACGCAAACCGACATTAAAGCATATACAAAAACCTGGAAGTAATAATGGAAAATCTTAAGAGAAAAAAAAAACTTGAAGTAAACACCAAAGTATTGACAGCTTGAAGAATAAAGAGCTATCATCTGGAGGAGTTTATTTTGTATATGAAGTTTCGGGTAGTTGTCTCGGCTGCCCATCTTTGGAGTGTGAGTACTTTAGCGGAAAGAGCGGTACAAAGACAAGAACCATGAGCCACAGTGCTCATTCTCTGAAGATGGGTAGACGAGACAACAATCCGAAACGTCCGATACAAAGTAAACCTCTCCCGGTGAAGCTTCTTTCTTCCTCTTACTTACCACCTGAGAATCGAATTTTCACTACTATTACTGTACGGATGGTTTGTTTAGAAATACCAACTTTTAAAAGAAGCCTCAAATTCCGAAAACGGGAAAAATCGCTTTAACCGTGACCAATAAATAAAAATATAATTCAGAAGAAGAAGATGCGATCACTGGAACAAGAATTTTATTTCCCTGACGTTTGGGATTCTGTCGAGCATCTTTAGCCGTAAGTAACGGTAAGATAGTGTGAGACATGCGCAGATTGTGGTTAAAATATAATTGTTAGGCGAAAGCATAAGAATACAATTTTATACGTGGAAATAGCGTTCCTTAAGTCAAATTTCCTGATATATATTTCGGGAACTGGATTACAATTAGTTTCAAGTCATTCTTGAAAATCTGGCTTTTAAACCCTTTTTCCATAAATCTGGACTCTGTTCAATGGGTTTATAGAGATATTTGACTTAACATATTACTCAAATAATACACCGGAAAAGTCAGTTTTTGGATATAAGTTCTCATGAAGATAAACATTTGGCTCATATTTGTAAACGCATCTAAACATGAAAAACCACTGCTAGAAAAATGATTGTCCACAGCACAAGTCCCATATTAATATGCAGAAGATCAATTAAAAGATTTTCATTTTAGATTACCTAGTTAGAAAGTGCTTAGATATTTGGCTGATGAATATCTGCGTAGGATACCTTTTTCCAAGGTAACGGCGAAGTGAAAATGGGGAACTTTAACTAGTTTTATATTTTCCTGAAAATTTGCGATAAATTTTCTGCCGAGAATGAAAGGCCTCAATTTTCTCTTTATATACGAGCATTTTGGCTTTATCTGACTACGTTTAGACACTGTTCATAGGTACCTAAAAGACGGACTAAAGAGTGGTTTAATGTGTACCAAGAGTTTCGGAAACAGTTATCTTTCTGTTCGTTTTGTTTATAAATTACACATAAGGGGAAATTATATTGTACAAAAAAGTGTTTTTCCACATGCCTTAAATAGTACAATATGGTTCTCGGTATCCATTCCCACACTAAATTATATGTGCTTTTGTTCATGGTAAAAAAGCAAAGTACGCCCAGACAAGTTTATTAGTGCTTTTTTGATTAAAATCCAGCCATTGACACAAAAAATATTGTTTTATAATCTGAAGTCGTTTTTTGTTTCTGGGAATAAATGCAAATCCTCACATTCGCTTCAACCGGATTTTCACTAACTTAAGTTCACATTTTCCGGTTTCAGAAAGTGTTTATTCAAAACACTTTCTACTTTTATTTGGTGTTATTTTATAGCACAACGTACAAAAGATTTTGTTCTGTCTTATTAAGTAGATTAGGAACGTTCTTGAAAGTCGCTGAAGAAGAGACTGGGTGGAGCTTTCCAGATCCGCTGCTGTCAATCGCCACGCATGGAGAGGTACCGTTCGTGACATCATTGAGGCCGGCTAGATCAGGCATGGTCACAGCGGTAACAAGTACAAGTAAGTACAAGTTCTTGGACATCGGACGACCTCTAATTTCACCAAAAGTCTGCCTGGTTTCTTTTTATAAATAAAGCCTGAACACGTAGTTCTCTTTACTAAAAGAGAAGAAAAAGAACAAATGTACGCTAAACTACCAAATCGAAGTTCGATCATGACTTTGCATAAGTTTGGTCACCCTAACATCTGGCTCCGGGGTCAAGACAATATAAAAACGACCAGGGTGGGCTCAGTCGTCGCATAGCAACTCGAGAATG